CAGCAGTGTGAGCACTGAGCACTGTGGGGATGAGGACAGCAGTGTGAGCACTGAGCACTGTGGGATGAGGACAGCAGTGTGAGCACTGAGCACTGTGGGGATGAGGGCAGCAGTGTGAGCACTGTGGGGATGAGGGCAGCAGTGTGAGCACTGAGCACTGTGGGGATGAGGGCAGCAGTGTGAGCACTGTGGGGATGAGGGCAGTAGAGGCTCCAGTGCTTCTCATGAGAAGAATCAGTGCTCTGGCCTGGCTTAAGTTTTAATACATTTATGTAAGTGTGGGGTACAGGGTACGAGTGTGTGCATGTCATGGTGTGTGTGTGTGTGTAAGGAGTCAGTAGTTCTCTTCTCTCACTGTGTGGGTTCCAGGGGTTGACTAGGTCGTCAGGTTTGAGGCAAGCTCCCTCACCATCGAGCCATCCTACCAGCCCTGAGCTCTAGATTTGAATCAGAACCTGTCTGTGAAGTTTTCTGACCAGATAATTTAAGGCAAATGATAATTAGCAAGTGGGAAAGCTTGTCTCTTTCCCATTAATTATCCAATCTATGATTCACAAACCTGGATTCCAAGTTGAAATGTGCCACTTTCTGACCTAGAGTTTCTTTAACAGAACGGGCTAGCCTAGACTAATCTTGAACACACAGAGGGCCCCCTGAGCCATACTCTGAGTAGTGGGGTTAAAGGTGTGTGCCACCATGCCTGGCTCCATGGACACTCACTTAGTGGAGTCTTGAGCTGGCTATGGAATGAGGCTAGGCTGCCACTCCTGCCCCCTCACTCTGCCTTCTCAGTGCTGGCATTACAGGTGCATGCCACCATGCCTAGCCACCATAGTTTTCATGCAAGAGCCTGGTTTTGTTGTTGCTTGCTTTTTAATTTATACGTTGAGTCCATTTCCACTCCTATTGCTGAATGTTTTAGGTAGTTGTAGCTGTGGATCTTTTCCCGGTAGCACGTCAGCAGATTCCTGACAACAGTTTTGTCTTGTTCTGACAATTCTGGACCAGCTCAGATCCAGGAGTCTGCTTTGATCTCCAGGAGTAGCCCCACAAGCTGCTTTTCTAGCTCTGATTCTTAATACCTCCAGTTTCTAAGCCAACTGGATGCTGGCTTGTGTATTTCCTGTTCTGTATTGTTAGGAAATTCATCTTCTGAGGAGTCTTCCAACTGGACATCATTTGGGGCAGCTGTGCCATGGTCTGAGCTGGCAGAGCACAGTGGGGGCCTTGGCATGGAGGTCTAACGTGAGCTAAGTGGTTGGTCTCCTTAGGATCCAGGAGCTGATATGAAAATCCAGTCATGGGCTGAAGGCTCAGTGGTGCAATGCTTGGCTGGCATGCTCAAGGCCCCAGCACCAGAAAAATACAAAGATATATTAGAATTCCCCCAAATTAACCCTCTGTCAACATCTCTAGTTGAAATCCAGGTGTGAGCTGGCAAAGAGTGGAGTGTACAGTAATGGTGTGGGTGGCCTCCAGGCGCGGCATGTAACTGCAAGGAAGCCAGCGGCCTTTCGCTGCAGCCCAGATATGTGATAGACAGGCAGAGCAGGGGTGGCTTATCCCAGCAGGGTCTAACCCTGGGAGCGGCTGTGTAACAGTGTAATTAAAAATGTACACAACAGATCTGTAATGAAGAGATTTAATGTTTGGGGGTAAAGAGTGAGGAGACACAGAGACATAGAGAGATAGAAATACACGAGAGAGAGAGAGAGAAAGAAAGAAAGAAAGAAAGAAAGAAAGAAAGAAAGAAAGAAAGAAAGAAAGAAAAAAAAGGAAAAGAAAGAAAGGGGGATGGGGTGAGGTGCCTCAGAGAGGGGGAGAGAAAGCAAAGCAGAGAAGGCAAGAGAGGAGAGAGAAAAGGGGAAGGGCCTTTTATCCTGTGCCCCTGGCAGGTGACAGCAGATGACATCACAGGTTGCTAAGCAACCTAGAGGCATGCTTCCTATACGCTAACAAGTAGGCCAGAGAAGACTGGCTTCAGGGCTTCTGTTCTGTTCTGCTTGCTTGTTCATTTGAGAAAAGGTCTCAGTCATAGCACAGGCTAGCTTAGAACTTCACAGGACCATCTTTGGATGGGACTGGCACCTCTGCCCCACTTCACGTTTCACAGCCTGCTGAGCCGTCCTGACCTTGGTTAATGCTGAAGCTTCTGCTTTCATACCTAGATGATTGGCACCATGCATCTCTGTCTGAACAGCCATTTGAAAAGTAAAACCAGCCAGGCAGTGGTGGCGCACACCTTTAATCCCAGCACTTGGGAGGCAGAGGCAGATGGATCCCTGTGAATTCAAGGCAGCCTGATCTACAGAGTGAGTTCCAGGACAGCCAAGGTTTTGAAACCCTTTTTTCAAAACAAAACAAAACAAACAAACGAACCCCCCCCCACCAACCCTTCCCCCTCCAAAAAAATTGAAAAGTAAACATAATAACATTTTTAATTTTAAACAAAGCCTTTTTATATCTAGTTCTCCTAGACTTATCACCAGAACCATCTATGTGTAAAACCACTGTTTGGGTGGGTTTGTGTTAGTCCCAGGAAATCTGCACTTCCCTTTATGTGAATTCACTTCATAAGAACTCACTGTCCGCCATATTGGAGGACTAAAGTGTTGTGGATTTCAGAGACTGGAGGCCATGTTTTCCCTGGTGTTGTTCTGGTTTCCTCCCACCTTTTCCTTGGTTGTACCACATTTTGTCAAACATCAACAGCAAAGCTGGTGGATGATGGAGGTTGTGATGGTCCACAAATAAAGTAAGGCCAGGTACACATCCTTAATCCTGGACCGCAGCTCTTCTAATGAGTCTGCTGCTAAATCCTGATCTGGTAGACCACCCATGGTGCATCGGGTCTTCACTCACGGTGGAAGAGGAAGTGCTCATCTGTGCCATGCCCGTGAATCAAAGCTCACATTTCCTCAGAGCTCCGGGGTCCTGAGCCTGCCCGTAGTGGAGGTGGGATCGTTAGGCGCAGCCACCCTAAGCTGTGGCCTCTCCAAACTGACCTGACACAGACACCCACCTTTCCACTTCTTCCCCAGGCACATGGCCACCACCCCGTCTCCCCTGGGCTGAAGCCTACTCTACGGCAGATGCCCCTGACCGTGTTGAGGAGCCAAACTGAAGGACATTTCCTACCCTCACTGGATGTGTCTAATCACATAGCACTGTTCATGCTCTGGGGGAGGCTATTAGGAGAGAGAGCACTTTCCAAAAGACTAATGCGCTATTAGAATCCCAGGAACAAGCCAGAAAAACCATGAAAGTGTCTTTTGTTTCAATCGGGTATACAAAGTCAGGATAGGGTGGGCTCGCGTCTGCCTTAATAGCCGTGTCTGTCCTGAGGTTACAGGCAGCCTCTGCTCAGGAAGTACTGTTGAAATAAACAACCATTGCCTCAGACAGGCGAGGGTCATGAAACTCCGCCCCGTGCCTGTCCTGGTAGATAAGGCCGACTCTGCCAAGAAGGTCTTCCTGGGGCACATTTCCAACCTAGAGTGTGAATCGCTCTGAGTGCACTTCCTCTTGTCTGGCAGCCCTGGCGAGCTCTCCCGCCTCATTTCCAGGGCTCCGTAATCTGGTATCTGTGTCATTTGTTCAAAACAACTGATGCGGCATCTGCTCCAGGCTCCAGGTGCATGGCAGCTGAACACAGACCCGGGGCCACTCACTGTGTAAGCCTGGACTCCTGCTCCAGGCAGGGCCAGCTCTTACTGCTCGGCCGCCGATTCCCTCTTCCCACGTCTCCCTCCTTGATCAATCCCAGTTCACTGCAGGGACCCCCAACTTCAGACTCGAACCCTTGTCTGTCGGACTGGAGGGCAGCATAGGTACGCAGACTTGAAGAGCGGTATTAAGTGATGAAGTCTCAGAGGCGAGGTCGCAGGTTCCTCTGTGTTCTGTGTGGCCTGATAGCCAGGTAGGCCGTGTCGCGTCTTCCTGGGGCCCACAGAACCTTTGTCCCGCAGACCCCCACAGGGCATTCTAACACAGAACAGAGGGTTTCACGCGGGGGTGGGGTGGGGTGGGGTGGAAATCTTGGCGCTTTCCTCAGACTGGAACTTTTGTCTGAGAACAGTGCTGGGAACTAGAATGTAGACAGCGGACTTGAATGTTAAGCACAATAACTCTTTGATGATTAAAGGCCCTTGCTGGCAGGTGGCTGTAAACTTTAACAGTGCTTTAATGTCCCTTGGTGCTTTTTTTTTTTTTTTTTTTTGACTCTGTCAGTATCCCAGTCTTCAAAGGTATCCAGATAATTTAATATTTAAGAATAGGTAAATATGCTTTATCCTGTTTATAATTCACATTATGTCTCTTTGAAATTCTATAAAACTCTGTTCCCAAATGAAACAATAAACTCTAACAGTCAGTACTTCAGACTGGAAGTTACATAATAATTGTAAAATTTTAGACTTGGGCTGTG